CCACAAAACCCCAAAACCCCAAAACCCCAAAACCCCTAGACAGTCCTAAGTGTTGAAAAGTAGGACATCAACATTTATGTATTCAGCATTCGTTATCTAGTCTTCAAAAGTTTCTTTTACTAACCATCGTTGGCAAATAATTCAACGCTCGTTTTTTTGGCTCAGTCTTTTGAGTAGGCAGTTTGGGTGGTACATGTGTTCTCAAGGAACCAAAATATAAGTTCCGTCTGGATAACTTTTACAATTATCAGCCCATGAGCTCTTGTATTCCAACTCAGGACGGTCCAGAGGATTCAATCAAATGCTTCAATCTGGGACTAGATCCTTACTCGAAGATTTTGCATAAGTGTGTATCATGAGATCATAATTAGTTAGTCTCATATGTCTAGGCAAGAAGAACCGAGAACCGCGTGTTTCTTGCATAGAAACTACAAAGAGCCCTACGTAATGAGAAGCAAACACATAAAAAGCTTGAATCATACTTAAACTCGGGTAATAGAAAGAGGGGCTCAAGAGAGTCGTACGGGACAAGATCATTATACCTGGCAATATTAAATACCAATCACCTTCCATCAAAAACCTTTTGCCAAAAACAAAATTAGCAACTGCTACTAGCCACCAAATATTGGTAGAAATGAAGAACAGTTTTAAATCGAAAAATAATGTATTCAAAAGAAATGGTTCAAATTTCAGAACCAATAGTCCTGTCAGATATGTCATAATTGTTAATCCTGTCTCCACAAGTAAAAATTTCCCTTCTCCATAAGGCCTTTCTCACCACACAGAGTATCAAAAAAAAAGCTATAAAGGTGATAAAAAATTTACAAAGGAAGTGACACCATATACCCAAATTGTCCAATTCATCCCTTTAGCTACTAGCCAAAGATATCCCATGGATTGACCCAAAGAGTACAGAGTCAGCATTCAGATAGCCTGAACATACTTTGAGATCAACAGTATATGAATCTTGCCTTTTAAATTCGAGTTGAAGAAATCTAAACTATGAGACTTAACTTGCCTGGAAAGAATGAGTAATTGAGGAGATTCCACTGGATCATTATAATAAAGCAAATCGCAAAAAATAACACAAGAATTGATATGTAGCCAGGAAAATAAGATTCATCTACCGTCACATTTATATTGATGTCTATAGTAGATGAATCCCCAAGCAGAGTGTTTTGAGCAGATGCTTCTTTATTGATGACCCTGTTCTTTGTTAATTTAAAGTTAATGAATTTGCCATTAAAAATCTCATACTCTAGGCCTCCTTGTAAATCGGTCACGACTCCTTTGCGACAGAAAGTATGGTTGGCATTTTTAAGTTCTATACTGGAAGAAAACCTTACCTGAACTAAAAGCATAAACTTTATTTGGGTTCATAATAATTTCTTTCTTAGGAAGTTTAATTATGTGGAAATAATTGCTCGAGTCATTATCTAAATTAATAAACACTGATGGACTATGTACTAATTATGATGCTTACTCTCTTCATCACTTTGCCTGACCTCATTTGCATTCAGAACAATATAAACATATGAACTCAAAGTATCACAACTCTTGCTCTCTGAATGATTTCCCAACGAGTATGAAAGCAAATGCATTGTTGGATATTCAATGGAGACACTATAATTCTGTTCTTGGTCAGTGTTATAAAGCTTGTATCCAACCTTCCCTTGGTCTTTTGCAAGTACCTCCCATTTACCTTTCCTAAGGATAAAACCTATTACTTACGAGGAATCATAGTAATTCCAATATCTAATAAACTTGTGGTTAATACCAAAATCTTCTTTCTCAGTGACATGATGTAATTCCGCTCCAGAGCATTGCATATTTTCTTCAGAAAAGAATTTAGTAACTAAATGTTGGTTACAAACAAATTCATTGGAAAATAAATCTTTCAGAGAGTGGGCATGCAAGGGAAGGATCATAACAAGCAGGAATATGCTTATTACAATATTTTCATATTTAGAATTCATTATTAATTATATTTTGCGGGGTTTTGGGGTTTTGGGGTTTTGGGGTTTTGGGGTTTTGGGG